ACTAGTACCTATCACCAAACTCAATAATTATTAAAAAATGGCAATCTTGTTTGATATATACCTTCCCAAATTGGTTTATGTTAGAACAAATATCAGACATATTATTTCTTCTGAAGATACTGTGATTTGTATCTGTAAAATGTGAGGACTCTTTAATGCACACATATGTATAGCCACAATTCAGTTAGCACACCTGAAAAATTAATAGTAATTCTCCCATTATCTCATAAATTGTAGAATGTTAGAACCAAGATCAAAATTACATATATTAAAATTTGTATGTTAAGTATCTAGTAATCTATATGTTTCCTCACATTTTTTTCTCTTAATTTGGTTCTTGAAAAATGGGTTTTTGTTTGAAGTATCCCACAAATTCATTTTTGTCGCCTACATTTCCGTGATGTCATTTAACATGGTCTTTTGTCCTTTGTATTTCCTGAATCCAATAGTTAAATCTAGAGGCTTTCAAAGTCCAGTTCAAAATTTTAGCAAGACTATTTCATAGTTAAATTATTGGCATGAGTGATGGATTATGAATGGAGATTTTAGTGTTGAGTCCCTTCAACGTTTGAGGAGTCTGTGTGGGGCCAGGGACAGATAGAGCCCTGTACAGTCAGATCTGGGCTTAGGCAGCCTGTTTTTACCCCCAAGTTCAGTAATTCCATTTTCTTATCTGTGCCATGGTATTAAAAATTGGTAGAAAACAATATTCTGAACTTTTTAATAAAAAATATAGTTGTGTTCATCATGTATTAAGGCAGTGCCTATACAGGGTAAAACAGACATTTCATCTGTTATAGAAATTTAGACTTTAAATTGGGAGGTATTTTTAGATAATTTTATTTTGCACATGAAATGATGTGAGCATTATTTTAAGAGAGCCTTAGATGAAACTTGCAAAAAATAATTTGATCATAATGTATATGTGAAATATGTAAAAATGCTTTGAAAATATTGATGAGCATTGGTAGGAATTGTTGTCAGACTTTATAACAGTTAATGAAGGATCACTGTGAGTTACAAATGCAAGTTTATTTTCTTTGAGAATGAGCTGAAATGGATAGTTTCTTTTATGTGAGAAAGGAGAAAAAATATTAAGTAAACAGGAAGCATAAGAATTTCCTCTTTAGAAATAGTTTGATCCTGATACATCCTATAAACTGATTTTAAATACAATTTACTGCTCTGTCACTCCTTGTGTTATAATAGTTGTCAGGTATATTTGATTTTGGGTAGTGGTTTCAGTGGCACCAGAGAAGCACCCTCTGTCACTTCTAGTCCTAAGGAAGAAACCCACCACAGAACTCTGGTGGCGCTGGGGTCCCCCTTACCTGTGCATTTCTCAGTGTCTTCCTGGGCAAGTTGAGAAGACTGCACTACTCACCCATCCCAACACAGCCTTTCCCTGGGGAGTCTTCTATGGGGAGGCTCTGGTGCTTCAACATCATTGAAAGAGGCTACTTGGGAGTCTAAGCATTTACTCAACTATTAATGCCATTTGCAAGTTCTCATTAAATTCTGAATCCCAGGGAGTTTCATTAATCTCAGTTAAATCAGCCCAAACATGACTTATTTTCCACCCCCATTGGATAAACACTCTATTCCCCAGCAATGTTGAGATCTTAACAAGTCCCATTTTAGGCCTCGAGGCAATGAAAGCTGGTAAAGGTGAGTTCTGGGGAAACTTGCCCTCAATTTGTGAGTCATTGGAATGCTTTTAAGGAGAGGAATTTTTTTCCTCAGAAGGGACACAACTAAAGAAAAGAAAAGGGGCAAATGAGTATTCTCTGTGTCTATGACTACGTCCTACATCTTAGGGCCTCACTCCTTCCCACCCTTAGTGGGAGAGGCCTGGAGGGTCTAACTGCATTTTTGTAGATCTTACATCAGCCTCTGCCCTCTGCCATGTGTACCCTATTACTACTGTAGAAGTGGACTATTTTTTTGTATTTGAGTTTATTCTTCATTTAACTTTTAAAACACTACTATAGTTGCATATTAAAACAAACAAGTAGTGAGTATATTACAATTACAGTCCTTCACTCATTCACTACAGTAAATAAAATGCCAGCAGTGAGTGTGATTCACTGGCCCCATTAAGAAATCTGACACTGCCCTAACTGGTTTGGCTCAGTGGATAGAGCGTCGGCCTGCGGACTGAAGGGTCCCAGGTTCGATTCCAGTCAAGGGCATGTACCTTGGTTGCGGGCACATCCCCAGTGGGGTGTGTACAGGAGGCAGCTGATCGATGTTTCTCTCTCATCGTTGTTTCTAACTCTCTATCCCTCTCCCTTCCTCTCTGTAAAAAATCAATGAAATATATATTTAAAAAAATCTGACACTGAACACCACCCCTAGGATGATGTCATCATCCTTAGATGCTTCTCCATTGTAATGGCACTGTCTTTCTTGACTTGGATCAAAGTCCACCAATTCTACCTGGTCCATTTCATCAGTCTCTTCTACTTCCTTTCAGGTAGGAGTTTTTCCAGCAAAGAGAGTTTATCAGGAGAGAGAAAGCCATTCTCAGGAAAGTTTACCTTAAATTTGATGATTAGGTGACCCTTTTCATGTGATCTATGATGAATTGGCATGCCTTCATTTAACACACATTTGATATCTTCATGCTTGACAATCTGACCTGGATGAAGGGTGATGACTATGGTTCGGTTGTCAGGAATAGCTATTGGCTTTTAGAAGCCACACAATGCTTCAACCAGTTGTACGTCCATACACATGAAAAGGTCTTCTCCTTGTCGCATAAAAACAGCATTGTCTTTTTGATCTAAAACAATGATATCTCCTGGCTCCAGTCTTGGTTCTTGATCTTCTTCACCATGGAATGTTATCTTCTGGCAATCTTTCATGCCTTTATCATTAAGAACTTCTAGAATCTTCTTCTCTCGAACTATCTTCCTTCCATTGCAGCTTTTATATCCATCTTTAGAACTGATCCATTCCCCATGGCCCTGGTACTCCATGCATGCAGACTGAATTTGCTGAACCATCCCAGGTTCTATCTGGTGATTTCTTATTTATATTCCAGTACCTCAGCAATTGAGACAGCACTCTACTGTTCCTTTCTTACCATCTCAGCCTACACATTTGTCACAAATCACATCCTTTTGCAGAGCTAGTTTTCCTGTTGCACCATTATATAAATCTAAGGTTATTGAGAGCTGATGACAACATTTTTACCTCTCCTTTCTCTCTCTACCTTCCTCCTCCTCCAAAAAAAAACAAACCCAAAAAACGTATAAAGATGTCCATGGGAGAGCCAAAACCACCACCTGCTCCACCTTCCTTTAATTGCCTGTTCTCCTCCTTTGTCACATAATTCCCTTTTCTTTGCCTCAGAAAGCACTTCATAAGCTTGAGAAATCTGTTTAAACTTCTCTCCTTCATTTGGATTCTTATCAGGTGGTACTTCAAGGCCAGCTACCTGTAAGCCTTTTCTTTTTTAAAAATATATTTTTCATGATTTCAGAGAGGGAGGGACAGGGAGAGAGATAGAAACAATGATTTGAGAGAAGCATTGATTGGCTGCCTCCTGTACCGTCCACACTGGGGATCAAGCCCGAAAACCAAGCATATGCCCTGAGCGGGAATCAAACTGTGACCTCCTTATTCATAGGTCAACACTCAACTACTGTGCCATGCCAGCCGGGCTGTAAATCTTTTTCAATTCTTCCTGGGTGGCATTGGGTTTGACCTCCAAAACATCATAGTAAGTGATTTCTTTTACCATTTTTGACAGCTGGAGAGTGGGCCGAGGCAGGTGTGGAGGAGCTGGAAAGAGCACATTGCTCTAGAAATGGAATATTTAAAAACTGCCAATGAGGACTTCCTTGGATGTTTTTAAGTGTATATTCATAACTTTAATTTTTTTCCTTTCTTCTGACCATGAAAAGAATCTAGGTAATAATCGCAATTTTCATAACTATTGTTGCTGTAACAATTAAATGTCATGGCCTTGGATCTCGCAACACCTTGCCCTCCTGCATTTCATTCTATGCTACCATTGATGATAATTAGGATGCTATTGCATTCCATAGATTTCCCATGTCATACTATCATTGTGGTCCTTTACTATATCCTGACCCAGGAGCCTATTTGAGAGTTTATTTCATGGTGCTGTTTCTGGTACAATTACTGTGTCTGCGTCAGGAAACAGCATACTCAGAATAATTCAAGGAGGGTCTCATAAAGAGATGATTTACCAAGCTAGGGTACAGGGAAACTATGAGGGAGAGTACAGTACCTCGAGCTGGTAACAGAAGTGCACCACGCCTGCTTGAAGGGAGGAGTGGAAAGAAAAGTTAGCAGAACCCAGAGGGAAAAAATCTTGAGAGAGCCGCCTTGGCTGAGAGGCACAACCACTCCATGGGGAAAATCGGGAATCTCTTCTATCCCTCCCACTACCCGCCAGGGCTCCCCAGTGGCAGGACCCAGTGGAAAGCCAGCAGGCCGGGAGACTCCTGAGGGCAGAGAACAATGTGTAAGATGTTGGGAAATGGATGGAGAGACACATCAATTATCTGAAGAGTTTCAAGAATGTTTGTGTTTAGCATCTTGTTTATGGAGATAGAAAATCATATAATTTGATGAGGTTTTCTTAGACTAGAACTAAGGAACTGATCAGCTCATGGCAGGAGAAAGCAAGAGCTTTGAGAAGCCCATTTCCTTATTCCACATACCTTCCAGGAGAAGAGTGACTTGTAGGCATCTTAGCTGTCTTGTGAGGTCACAGGAGTAATTTGGAAATATTTTAGTGATTATTCTGTGCTTGTTGTTATTCATCACCTTTATTAAATAATTTTATGAATTGAACTACATATACATTATATTTAACAATTCAATATAAAAATAAATACTTTGGGATAAATAATTTATGTATATTTTAGAGCCCTTAGGGCTTACAAAAAGAATCTTAAAAGATCCATATTTATCATCTGAAGACGAAGAATAATTACAAAAGGTAACAAACCATACATCAAAAAATAAATATAATTTTTAAATATTTAAATAAATAGAAAGCCTGATACATTTTAAATGGGAAGCACTTAAGTCAGTGTTGAGAAGATTCTTTGACAAAAGGTAATCCACTTGTTCAGGAATTCTACGATGGTCACTGTCTCATCATCATAGTCACATTTGAATCTCGTTTCAGGTCCCTAAAACACAAAAATTATAATTATTTTCTTAGTTAAGGTTGGTTTACCTTAGATATAATTATTCTCAATTGACGTATTACAGGCTTATGGCCTTTATTTTCAAGGAGGTTAAACATATTAATCTCATTTTCTTGAAATGATCAAATTGATATGCTGAAATTATATGTTATGACACCAAGTGATAGTAACACACAAGCTGAGGTTGTTAATCCTGTCAATTTTAAGGAACACAGTATTTTCCCCCTTGAATTATATACCAATAAGCATTTTTTTGTTGTTAATCCTTACCCAAGGATAGTTTTCCCATTGATTTTTAAAGAAAGTATAAGGGAGGTGGGTGGGAGGAGAGAGAGAAACATTGATGTGAGAGAGAGAGATCGATTATTTGCCTCCCACACATACACCAGCTGGGGCCAGGGAATGAACCTGCAATGGAGATACATGCTCTTGACCGAATCAAACCCATGACCCTTTGTTTCTTAGGCTGATGCTCTAAGCATTGAGCCACACCCACCAGGTAAGCATATTTTTGTTGTTAATCCTCACTTGTGGATATTTTCCCATTGATTTTTAGAGAGAGTGGGAGAAGAGACAGAGAGAGACACATCGATGTGAGAGAGACACATCAATTGGTTGCCTTCTGCACAGGATCGAGCTTGCAACTGAGGTACATGCCCTTGACTAGAATTGAACCAGGGACCCTTCAGTTCGTGGATGACGCTCTATCTCCTGAGCTAAAGCAGCTAGGGCCAAGTAAGCATTTTAAATGAAAACAGATCTAAACAAATATTTCATTAAATGCATGCAAAATCAAGCTTTTAACTCTCCTTTCCTCTGGGTGTAAATCTATATCTATAGGTTACATGTGTGCAGTACCAGTGATATACACATTATACTTTCTTTTTTAAACCTCAAGTCTCCTGTTATTCTATTTAAATGAATCTCTTCATATTTTCCCCTAAACGAGATAGAGCCAGTTAAGAGTAAGTTAGGACAAGCTTCTGTTTGGGGGTAATTTGTGTGAAAAACAGTTTCATATATAGTCATTACCCCACCCCCCCCCACCTCAGTATCAGTAAAGGACCAACTTTTGAAAGTTTAAACATTGGAAGTTTTGTTTTGTGGACTGACTTTTTGGAAATGAATTTCCTTTGCCTTTGGCTGACAAAGTAGGAAAATATTCTGATATATAGTAAGATAAAAGAGGGATTTTTAATTTTGAAGTAATACCTATCCTGGGAACATAACCAAGTGAGATAAAGTATTCATTCCCTTTAAGTAAACTGTTGAAGTGTTACATACTTTTTTACATACAATTGAATATTATAACCTCTTAGAGAGTGAGATTTTAAAACATCAGGCTTTTGAAACTCAGAGTCTCTGATTTTCATATAATTTTCTCTTAATTTTGCATCAAGAACTTAGAGTCAGTTCTCTGATATTGGTAAAAAATTTTAGAGCATACCTTTTGACATAGATGAAAAACAGTCTATCAATGTCTAGATAACATTGCTCTCAATGTATTTTTAAAGAATTAAATGAAAGGAACAGTCTACTAATAAAATGACTTCTGTTCGGAAACAACTAGAGTTAAGATTTTTTAGGACCTTGGTTCTATCATTAAAATTACACCGTTTATTTAGGATACCTATTAACTCATGACTTTTGTACTTTGGCAGATTGGATGGAAAAAAAAAAAAGACATGAATCTCTTTTACATCACCTGAGTCCCTTGTATATTTCATGCTTCCTCTGCGTTTAAAAATACGTAAGGTTTTGAAAGTATTGCCTCGAAATAAGGAGTTAATTATCTAATTCACTGGCTATTTTAATGGTTGCTGATTTTTAGACCAATCTCTTAGTCCTTCTACCAGTGGTAGGGAAACCCCATTTAAAAGGCCTTTTAGATAATCAGTGTTGGTAATTCTGGAAAATGACCTGAAGGAATTAAAAAAATATATAATGAAAACTGTGCTTTCTGTGACATACTCAGTTCAGTGTTTTCTCCTACTCTCAGTGTTGTGTTAATGTGAGGGGTGACTGCAGGGCCAGGGGCTTGTCCCTGTGTGGATGGTGGGTGGAAACCTTCTGGTGGAAACCTACCCTTATACCTTATTCTTCCCAGCTCCACAGTGTATCACCTAACACACAAATGATTCATGCTCACAGTGGACTTAAAATGTATGAGCACTTCACAAACACCAAAAACGCTGTACTACTCTAAAATGCCCCTCCCTTCCATGTATTTTCTTTCCAGGTGAGCAAGTGAAGTATTATTGCCTTACCTTCAGGTTCTGAACGAGTACATTGACATTGCTCATTAATTCCGTAATATTGCTCAAGCTTTTCTCTAACTTTAGCACTTTCTCCAGAGGTTCAAGTTCTTCTACTAGACACTGCAGATGTTTCAATTCTGTGGCCTGGAATAATAAAAATAATTATTAGGTTAGTTTGCCTTGACTCAAAGTCAATCAGAACATAACCTCAAATTTATTTTATTAAGAGTAGCAGGATGTAGTTTTTACCACTCTCTCTGTTCTCAGCATTACTGTCAAGCTGGACCAATAGAGTTTACATGATAAGACTGGAAAAAACTAGAGTTCAGCTACCCACGATTAGAATTAATTGTTAGTTAACAAATAATCATTAATTTCAACTTAATTTGGTTTTGCAAAAAGGCAACATTTCTGCACCTAATTGCAAGTCACAGATATAGGCTGAATTATTAGGACCAGAGTAGGAATGTGAAGTATGGGTCACAGTCTATGATTCTAGAGTTTCATGGTTCAAGAGTTGAGAATCATGGAATGTTAGGACAGAAGGAGCTCTCGGATGCCACCGGTCACAGGCCAACATTTTATACATTAGCCATTGTAACTGTGTATAAGATTGGCTTTCAAAATAGCAAGTCACATATAACTGCATCTTAATTGTTTACTTTTCTATAATAAGTACATTAAGCATTTTAAAAAATGATTTGTACCAATCAAATAAAACATTGCAATATTTAAAGTATTTTTGAATGGGCCTTTTGATTTAGACATACACACAGAATGATAATATTTCACACTTCTATGGTACATTGTAATTTCAAAGTGTTTTCTCCTAAATAAGTCCATTTAAGTCTCACAGCCACCCTTTGAGATAGGCAATGCAGAGTTATCTCCATGTTACAAATAAGGAAAGTAAATCTCAGATTTTGTGTTCTCCCAAGGCCACATGACCAGGAGGAGCCAGGATCAGGTTTCAGTTTTATCTTTATAGCATTAACCCAGAATCCTTTGAATTAAATGTTTTTATCATTTTCTGAAATAGAAACATGGAATGGTTGTAAAATGAAAAAGTGAATGGAGTTTGTCACATCACTTTGGTTTCAAATAGATCTTGAGTTGTCATTTAGAAACTGTTAGATTTCAAAGAATCTACCATCCTCTAAACTATGCACCCATCTCATGTTATCCTTCTAACAATCTTCAGAGAGAGAGGTAGCACTGCACCACACAGGTCTTAAGACATTTTCATCTGCTGGCCTCTCAACTTGCTACTGCAAGTTCTACAAGTTCAAGGCTGGAGTTTTCGGCATGGGCAACTTGGAGTTAGTCCCCTTAGAAAAGTCTAGAGCCGTGGTTGGCAAACTGTGGCTCGCGAGCCACATGCAGCTCTTTGGCCCATTGAGTGTGGCTCTTCCACAAAATACCCCGTGCGGGCACGTGTACAGTGCGATTGAAACTTTGTGGCCCATGCGCAGAAGTCGGTTTTCAGCCTGGGCGAGTCTATTTTGAAGAAGTACTGTTGATATTTGGCTCTGTTGACTAATGAGTTTGCCGACCACTGGTCTAGAGCAGTGGTTCTCAACCTTCTGGCCCTTTAAATACAGTTCCTCATGTTGTGACCCAACCATAAAATTATTTTCGTTGCTACTTCATAACTGTAATGTTGCTACTGTTATGAATCGTAATGTAAATATCTGATATGCAGGATGGTCTTAGGTGACCCCTGTGAAAGGATCATTCGACCGCCAAAGGGGTCGTGTCCCACAGGTTGAGAACCGCTGATCTAGAGTCTTTAAGTTGCTAGAGGTAAGAGGTATGTGTCTCTGATTCAGCTGGAGATCACTAAGTTATTTCCTTTTCATCTTTTAAAAGAGTAGCTTGAAGCATAACTTGAGTAAGTAAGAGGCAGATAAATGGAATTACATCTATGATTCTTTAAATTCCGTTCCCCCCCCCCCCGCCCCGAGGCTTTTCCCAGCACTGGTTTTGCCTGTTCTCTGTTGACCCACATAGCTGTTAGCAGTCCTCTCTTAGCAATAGGGGCCTGGATGATCTATGCTTATCTAGCTACCTGAATCCCAAAACAACCAAATGGAGCTTTTAAACTTGGAAAATAAATCATCTAGCATAAGTCTCTAGGCCTATTGGCATAAAAGATGTGTAAGTCCACAATTGTACTTTATACTCCCCAGGGAGAATTTTGTCTTTACTATTTACTACTAGTAACAGCAAATGCTTGTATGGTGCTCACCATACGCCAGATGCTTGTAGGAGTCCTTTACATTTACGTATTAATCCTCACAGAACTATATGAAGTATGTACAGTTATTCACAGATGTAGACAAGAAACAGTCACAAAGAGAGCCTGGTAACTGCCCAAGTTCACAAAAGCTAGGACATGGTAGAGCTGAGATTTCAGTTCAGATCTGGCCCTCAGTGCTATGTTGCCTCTCAAAGGCAGACTCTTAGAGATTTCTCCTAGGACACAGGATTTATTTTAAAGAGGGCTGCTCTGAAGTCAGTTTCAGTAATTTTCATGGTAAAAGTACATAATAGATATCTGTAGAGTTTTACATTTTCAGATGAAGCAGTAAATTCACATAACCTTGTTTTAAAACTGTCCCAGCAATGAAATGAGAATATTATTTTCTTTTCTTCCCAACTCCTTTCCCTCCAAACACAAACAAGAACATCTAAAAAATATATAGGCAAAGCCATTTTACAAAAGCCCCATTATCAAACCTGGATATATATATTTAAAAATATTGAAGTTACTAATACTTTTTCTCAGGTGAGATGCCATTAATACAATCAGTGTGCTAATTTCCATTTTACTTTGCATCTTAATAAAACACAAAATGAACTTAGAAAGTTGTACTTACATTCCTGGGCATGTAAAACTTAAACGTGAGCATCATGGGGAGCTTGGAGTTCTTGTAATTCTGAGAAAACACAACAGACTGTTATTACAAAGTGCACTCCAGGCAGAAAAGTTAAAGGGAGTCATTTTAGCAAGCAAAGGATATACATACGCTGACTCCATTCAGAAGCCGCTGCATATCCAGTATCAGGTGCTCCAGCTGCTGCTGTGTTTCCTGGCTGGAGCTCGAGGTAGGTGCACCGTCTGCGATGAATGCGAGAGTTAGTGCAATACAGGACAAGAAGTGCATCTTGTACATTGTGGCAGGAGGTGAGGTTGATGCGAGTAGTGGTAAGAGAGCTGATAGAGAGCTCTTGAGCAAAAGGAGCAATTTATACTGTTAATTCTGGAAAAATATCCTGGGGGTGTCAAAATATTTTACATATTACACATATTTTCAAAGACTTTACCTGTGTGGCAAAAAGCATTACCTTTATTTTTCCTCTTCTGATGACTCTTTGGAATTTCTTTAAACCCCCGTGAGCTGACTGAATGGATGTAGGTGAAATCCCTCTTGGTTACATTAGCCCACACTTCTGTGGCAGTTCCAATGCATATGCCTCACGCCTTCTGTATGAAACAGTTTTTCCTCCTCTTTCATTAAGGGGGCGGGGAGACAAAAGTGGCTCATGAAAATGTTCTCTTTGTTGTAAAATGATGCTGAACATGTGGCTCACCCTGTTGTGGTGGACGAGAGCTGGAGCAAATAGTTGAAAAGAATAAATGTTTAGATTTGTTGATTAGACAGGAAGAATATTGGTTTCCTGTTTCAGGATGGTTTGGCCTTTTTATCTACACAATGCCTGAGCTAATGTGTACAATATGATAGATTACTTCTTATAAAGCTAGAGAAATACTAAGATTAGGATACATATCATGGTCATTGATCTTGAGATACTGTTTTCTGCTGTTTTAATTTGAACATGTTTTTTGTATCTGTTTAAATCTACTACCTGTTGTACTTTTAAAAAACATACAGTGTTCAATAAATAAACATTCAAAACACATCCAAGGGTACTGATATGTGTGTGTGCATGCGCACGCACACGTGTTTCGTGGCAAATTTATTTTTGCTGGGCATCAAAGGAATATAACAAGAGTTGCAATGTTGCCACACCCAAGAATGCTTTTCTTCCTCTTGGTTTCTCAGGGACCACTTGAGCTATTAAATCCTCCCTCCCCCACCATGTATATTTCCTCTCTCTCTCTCTCTCACACACACACACACACACACACGCACACACATTGCTTATATTTTTTTCAATATGAGACAGAAAATAAAAGCATAACAATAGGGATCCCAAGTTTGTCTGTCTGAAGGAAGCTGACAGATTTTTGCATGCCATTGCACTTTCTTTAGGAGAAAGATACTAGGATCTGGCCAGCATCCCCTGTACAATACTGGCCCATTCAGTGTGGCTGGGTTGAGGAGGGCATGGTAGTAAGTAACCTAGGAGGAAATGTGGGGTGGGTGTGTTTGTGTGTGTGCTTTGTGGAGTGAGAGCAGTCCGTGGAGTAGGGGTACCTGGGCTCATTTATTACAAGGTGATGCTTGTAATACAGCAGCAGCCAGAACTCAGCAACAGAAGTTGTTAAGAGGGATATTCATGATCATTCCTGGAGCATCTTTATGAAAAAATGAATAAACTATTACAAACAACTATGACAGACAAATACAGAAAAGGGTTTGCATTCAAAAGTACAGATGCTAGTTTTATAATAGACTTTACATGTATCTTATGTAAACTGATCCATATGTTTCTAGCTTTATATTTTCACCTCTACTAGATTTTCATTTATCCTCTAAAGTTCCTGGGACACTGAGTGTAACATAATCATTATGAAGTAAAATCAGTATTTTTTTAGTTGGTAGACTGAAGAGGATATTCAGTATAATGTACTGTCTGAAGGAAGGGATAGGTCTAGACTTCTAATTTCAACTGGGGAGAATCCATGATACAGTTCTCTCCTTTCTCAAAGAGAAAGTAAGTCCTCCATTTTTTAAAAAGTGTTTTTAAAAAATTGATTTTTGTAAGAGAGAGAAAGGCAGAGTGAGAGAGAGAGAGAGAGAAACATTGATGTGAGAGCATAACATCAATTGGCTGCCTCCTGCATGCACCCTAGCCCTCTACTGGGGACTGAGCCTGCAACGTGGGCATGTGCTCTGACCTGGAATCGAACTGGCAACCCTTCAGTGCATGAGATGACACCCAACCAACTGAGCCACACTGGCTAGAGCTAACTCCTCCATTTCTACTACCATACTTACTATATGTCTAGTCTTTATCTAGCACTCACAATGCCCACAGAGGGGAAAGAAGAAGCTCAGTGTGCCAGCAGCAGTCTAGTTGAACCTTACAATGAACCTGGTGAGTGAGGCTTTCTATTTTGCAGATTAGAAAACTGGAGCTCAGAGAAGTTAGATAACTTCTTCTGGGTCATTTAGCCCTTACTGCAGGAAAGGGTAGAATGAGGATTTGAAACCAGAACATTCTGACTCCAAAGTCCACTCTCTTACCATTTGTATTCTTTCTGAAAGAACCTGAGGGCAGACACTCACATAGACAAGTGTAATCCTGGGTGAAAGGCCATTGAGGCCTCAAGAGAAGTGGATGGAAAGAATTTTAAAGAAGAAACAGGCTTTAAACTGGGTTTTGACCACATGGCCAAACTGTGGCCATGTAACTTTAGGGGTGGGGAACTTTTTTCTGCCAAGGGCCATTTGGATATGTATAACATCACTAGAGGTCTGGTGCATGAAATTTGTGCACAGGTGGGGTCCCTAGGCCTGGCCAGTGATCAGGACCTATCGGGGCCATCTCACCCAGTCCTGATCGGGGCCAGGCCGGACAGGGCCTGCCGGCCACTGAACGGGGCCTGCTAGACAGGGCCTGCCGGATGGGTGGAGGGGTCATGGGAGGTTTGCCGGCCAGGGGGAGGGACTGGAGGAGGTTGGCTGGCTGTAGGAGGTTGGCTGTGGGAGCTCACTGACCACCAGGAGGCAGCTCCTGTTTTGAGCACCTGCCCCCTGGTGGTCAGTGTGTGTCATAGCATCTGGTCGACCGGTCGTTCAGTCGTAACAGTCGCTTAGGCTTTTATATATATAGATTTGAGGGCCATATAAAATTATCATCTTAAAAATTAGCCTGCTATATTTGGCCAAACATTTAATTAACTTTCCCTTAATGCCATGGCAGGGCCAGACCAAATAATTTTGCAGGCCTTATACGGCCCTCAGGCCAGATGTTCCCCACCCCTGCTTTAGGATTCGGGGGTGGGGAGGCAAGCAAGGTTGGGCCCTCTAAGGCAGTGGTCGCCAACCTTTCGGACCTCATGGACCACCAGTGGTCTGTGGACCACCGGTTGGTGACTGCTGCTCTAAGGAACACTTAACAAGTGAACTTGCAAAGAACAGAGAAATGGTGCTGTTTATTCAGACATTAGGCAATATTGGAAGAATAGAAAACATCTTAGTAAAATTTAAACAATTACAGTTCCTCAGGTGGAAAATAATGAAGGAAAGCCAGATTAGAGACACATGATTTTTTTTTTTAGAAGAGAAGACATGGGTTAGAGACAAATGATCATGATTTTTTCTTTTTATTACTAAAAAATGCAAAATACCTCTCTGTGCCTTTCAAACCAAAACCACAAAGTTAGCATTACTTCTAAGGGAAAGGCTACTTAGTGATCTTGTTTCGCTTCTCTAAAGATTTCAGTGTCTTATCCCAGCATCATCAGCTCAGGCTTTTACCCTTCCAGAATGGAAGAATTCGGGCCCACACATTTCTCCGTGTGGGGGCTTTTCCAATGATGCCTTTGATGTACTCAGTCTTGATACTTATATTTCTCCAGCTATTTCCATTAGAGAATGGGTCAATGTGGAGACATTTATGGGACTCTGTAGAAATATTATTATTGCATAACTGGTACCATTATGGAGGTTGGCCTTATTTCTTTCTTGAAATGTTTGGGGAGAAAGCTCCCATATGATGTAGATACTTTCACTTTTTAACGTGTCTGACACATGAGCTGGCCTTTCTGTCTGTAGTGGTGACAAAGTCAGCAATAGACTGCTAACTACCCAGTGTCATATCCCTACTTCCCCTTTGAAAATAATGTTTTTTTCTGTTCAGTAAGAAGTTATTTTAGTTGCTTATTAGCATCATTTGTGACTCAGCCTCTTTGACTCAAGAGCAGCCCGAGTTCTGTGAAAAGGAAAGCCTGTCCCTGGAGTTGTCTGTCAAATAGCTGGTCACTGAGTCGCATGCACTGTCCATCAAAGCTGACTCCCCAGGACTCTGCCTCCTGCAAGATTCTTCTTCCCAATCCCCTTCCATAGCTTTGTAGAACTTTAACTTGGTCTGGAGCTGGATGCCTCTATTAATAATGCATCTCTTATCAATTTCTCTGTAGGCCTCTTGGCTTTTCATGGTAAGTTCTCTCCCTTTAACATTAGGACACAGTGTTGGGTGATTTCTGTACCATCTCGAGAGAATTCAGCCGGGAGCTTGTTTCCCAGGTCCATCTAGTCTTTTTTTCTGTGAAAAAGCTTAATAATGTGTTAGAAATATCTCATATTAAGTATTCTTCTAAAACATTAGTTTTAACAGTTGAATTCTGTTGTGTAACTGTATTCATTGATTGGAATTTACATTAATTCCAATCATTGACAAATATGACTAGTACTATGATTCACTAATATCTTTTACACATAAATATTTGTGCAAGTTTCTGATTCTCCTCTTACATTAAAATCCTAGATGTGGAATTACTGGGCCAGAGAATAGGAACATTTTAAAGTTTTTGATGCTTATTCAGAAAGTTAATAACAACCTTACACTCCCTATCATTGGTATGAGCCTTTTTTCTCTACTGCCAACATGGTTCCCACATTATTAAACAGGGGAGGGGGCACAAGGGAGAAAAAAGAGCACATGGTGAAAAGTATACTGATTGGTGGTTATTTTAATATCCTCAGGTCCACCTTTGGAATTGGGAATTAGTCAGACCTGGGTGCGAGCCCTATTTATCACTCACTGGCTATGGGACTTTTAACAAATTACTTATCTTCCCTAAGCCTGTTTTTTCTTTTTCTTTCTTTTTTTTTTTCATTTCTAAACTGATGGATGGACTTCACTGGATTTTATGAATGACATATCAGATATGTAGCTTAAATGAAAGCTCACAACACTAAACTCTCAACTTTGAATGAATGCCTTCTTGACCTGTTTCTGATATGCTACACTTTTCCCCTTT